CCATGAGACTCAGTTTCCTATGTGGGGCTCCAACCTTCCTCTGCAGTCTCCCCCTGCTGGACTCCCACCACTCTCTCTCAAGTCTCCAGGTCTCTCTGCATGAGAGCCATCTTTTCCATTTCCCTGCCAAGGGAGTCAAACTCATCCTTCCAGGCTCAGCTCAAATGTCGCCTCCTGGCAGCCCTCCTTCACTTGCCAGCATGCAGGCCTTCCCACCCCTTGCCACACACTCTGGCTGTCCTCAGGATGTGATGCTGTCCTGAGAAGCTAGCACAGTCATTTCTTGATACCCATGGCACAATGGTCCCAGGACCCTCACTAATACAAAATTCCAAGAGTGCTTAAGTCCCCTATGAAAAATGGCATAGAATTTGTATATAATCTGTGTATCTCCCTCATGGCTTGAATCATCTCTAGATCACTTACAATACCTGATACAGTGTAATGCGATGTATATAGTTGCTACACTGCATTGTTTAGGGAATGACAAGAAAAAAGTCTGTACAGGTTTGGTAATTTTCCCTTCAAATATTTTTGAGTAGCAGGTGGTTAAACCCACAGGTGCAGAACCTGAGGACACACAGCCCACTGTTTCCAGCTGCAGACTGACTGAGGAGCCCTCTTCCTCCTTGGGAAGCTGGCTACACTCATTTTTCTATGAATTTCCCCTGCCTATAAGGCAGCTCAGAAACTGCTAGATTTAAAAAAAAAAAAAAAGAAAGAAAAGTTACGCATATTATTTTGTAACTATGGAAGACGTTATTTAACTCAACTCTGGATCCTGACAAAATATCAAGTGTTGGTAGCATTAGCATGTATTTAAAATCTGGGAAAACTGGTATCATGATGCATCTTGACTTTTTCAGTTGTGTTGGAAATATTATTTAATTATGACAAAAGAAACAAGACTTCAGCAGAAAACATAACCGGATGAGGCTTGTTTGGCTGCACAAAGGAGACCCACCAAGTAACTGGGGGAGGTTTTGTCATCATTTTTCTTATTTTTAAACTTTGAATTTATTTATTTTTATTCTTATTTTTTGGTGCAACTGGAGTTTGACCTCAGGGCCTAGAGCTTGCTAGGCAGGCACTCTGTCCCTTGGGCCACCCCTGCAGCCTTTTTTTGCTTTGGTCATTTTTCATATAGGATCTCACCCTTTTTGCCCAGGGCCATCCTGGGATAGTGATCCTCCTACCTACACCTCCTAGCTCAGATTACAGGTGTGTACCACCACTCTCAACCTCATCTTTTTTTTTTTAAATGGGACACTTCACTAATTTGTATATCATCCTTGCACAGAGGCCATGCTAATCTTCTCTGTATTGTTTCAATTTTCCAATGTTAGTGTATGTTAGTGAGCATTCATAGGCACTTTCTTTTTTTTTTAAAGCACAACTTGAAGGAATACTATTTCTACCTACTGCAGTTTCATTTTCTGTCTCAGGAGTTCACCATCTCTCACCTGAACTATACTACAAATGTCCCTTAACTGTGGCAGCTGTTTATACAGCCTGGGAGGCCTCTTGACCAGGGGCCTGAGCACATACATCCCTTTCCTGGCTCACAAGTCTGCAAGGACTCCTCTGGTAAGGACTCCTTTAGGGGGTCCAAACAGGCCCTCTTACTTCTCTCACGTTGTCATCTCTCCTTGTTTTCCAAGAACTCATCCTACATTGAAGTTTTATGTATGTTCATGCACACATGTACACAACTCCGCCTGCTGTCACCTCCTTCCCTGCATTGAAATTCCCCTTTGCTATAGATTCAGCTCAAAGCTACCTATCTCCTAGATGCAGACCGCTCAAAATGCTCAAGCCAAAACCCAGGACACATGATGGAAGTACACACGCACCTCCCTCGGGGCTCAGGCCACACATTACTGATGAGTCTTCTGCATCCCTAACCACCCACCCTCATGTTCACACTCGCACCAAGATACCTCTGCGCATAAAACAAGTGCTCACTAAAAGTTGGCTAAAGTTATGTTAGGGGAGAAACTAACACAGTAAACACAATCTCTCTTCCAACTGATTCTGAAAGGGAAAATATCCTAGCCTGGATGCCAGCAGTGGGGGCAACAGGATGTGTGGCCAAGTGTGTGTGCCCCAGGACTCACCTAGGAGAACAGATGGATGCCAAAGTGTGTGAAAGAAGGAGGCACACACATATTGAGGAAGGCAGGAGAAAAGAACTCAAAAGTAAACCATAGTGAGGCAGGGGAGGCAAGCACTGGAAGAAGGGCTCCCTTTGCTACTTGGAAAGTGTAGGAAGGGGGACCTCGGTCACAGATCAGTTCTGAACAAAAAGCACGAGACCCTGTCTGAAAAATAACTAAAGCAAAAAAGGGCTGAGTGCATGGCTCAAGTGACAGAGCTCCTGCCTAGCAAGCTTGAGGCCCTCTTCTCACTCCACACCACTGTTAATGCAGAATCAAAGTAAAAACCAAATATGGGACCTGGCATGCAGGGGGCATTTACCAGACCTAACAGTCTCACCCAGTTCCCTAAAGACTGATGAAAGGAAGCTGGGCAGCCTGATGCTAAGTGGGGTGCCAGAAGTGGGTTTTCCTGTGTGGGGGGGAAAGAGGGGAAGTTTCAGGGCTAGATCACAGTAGGGTTGGCCTTCCAAATGCATCTGACTGGAAATAATGTGAAAACCAGAGCTCCTCCAAACCTGCCTCTGACTGCCTGATGGGAATGGGAGGGTGAGGAGGTATTGGCCCAGGATCAGGAGGTGACCACACAGAGGATAGAAACTGGGTACTTGGAGTGTCTGCATTCAAAGTGGCCCTGGCTAGAAGACCCAGAGGGAAGGTGAAGGGGAGAGAAGCCCCGGTTGCATCAGTGCTTCTCACAGTGGGATCCCAGGACCAGCAGGCAAAGATCACCAGGGAACTTGTCAGAAGGCAAAGTCTTAGCACCCTCCCACCCCAAACTTGTTGCAGAGATGCATCCCTGCAGTCTGTTTTACCAGCCCTCCAGAGCACTGAAGTGTGAGGACCACCACAGCTAGCTAGTCTTGCAGGCCCTCCCTGCTGCCTCTTTTCCTCCTGGTACCCAAAGTCACCACTCCTCCTGCTGAACAATGGTCCTGCCTAGAGGTTCCTTTCCTGATCCCCCTGTAACACTGGTGTGTTAACCCACATCACTGGTCATGGCAGGATGGCTTCTGTCAATGCACTCAACCCCACAAGGGTTCCTGCTCCAGCATGGGAGGGCATGGAGAAGACCCACAAGAAATATCTGGTGCTGTAATGAAGCCAAGTCTTAAACACACTTGACATTCCAGCTATAAAATATATTATTCCTACATATTTGAAACAGTCTTAATATAATTGGGAAAAAATGTTTACTAAAGTTTTGCAAGCCACAAAACAAGACTTTAGTGAGCAGGGAGAACTCCTAGCTGAAAGAGAGAAAGGAGACCTGCCTCCCAGTGGGGTGGTAGTGGGCAACAAGGGGGATGCAGGAAGTCTAGTGCAGTGGCTACAAGGAGAGCTTGCTCAACCTTCCATAATCAAAAACTCCAGGCTCTCCCAGGCTATGCACCAGGCCAAGCTTAGGCTTCAGATCATAGGTAAGACCACAGGGAGTCCCCTCAGTGTTTCCCTCACAAGTCAATCACAAGACCCACAGCCCAGCGGTTCCCATCCAGGCTATCTTCCCCTTGGCCTAGCCTCCTGGTTCCCAGCTCACTGTCATCACATTGCTTAGGAAGCCCAGAGGCCAAGCTTCCCAGGTGTGTTGCCAAACTGCTCCAGGGAGAGGTGGGAGCCTTCAGACTGTTCACAAAGTCCACCCTGGGCAGACCAAGCAGGGGAAAGGATATCGCAAGACCTGGGGGACAGGAGGCCACACAGCAAAATTAAAGAAAGGCATCCCCTTACTTCTCCCTCCAGGAAACAAAAAAGATCCCTTTCCAAGCACCAGCTGGCAGGTAGAAGCTATCTCCTCCTGTCAAGACATCCAGACCTAAGAAAAACTCAGACCCTTTATCAGCCTGGGCAAAAGTTTACCTTTGGGAGAAGAATGTGGGGGAGAACAAGAGAGCCGGGGCCTGACAGCCATTCAACCCTGCCCTAAGGAGCGAGCTCTCCCACTGGGCCTCAGATTTAATCAAAACACTGCCTCCCACCAGAAGTAGACAGAACTAGTATTATTTTATGGGGGAAGGGAGGGTATCGGGAGTGTGAAGGGGAGGAGAGGGCTGAGTCTGGCTGTAATTAACTCGCCTGCTTCAAAAGGGGGTTGGAATCAAGATGAAGGGGGTTGCCACAAAGCTCCCCTCCTCCCTAGGACACTAAGGCGGGGATGAGGTCAGGAAGGAAGAAGGTGAGGTAGGAGGGGTGGGTCTCCTTCCAGCCGGCCTGAGAGTCAAACCCCCTCTGGCGTGGGACGGGAGGAACTGCCAGATCCGTGTGGAGAGCTCTTGCAGGACGAGCATTACAACCGGAAAAGCCCGCGTGGGGGTTGTTGGTGCCACTCCAGTACAAAAGGCCGCCTGGCTTTGGAAACCTGGCATGGAAGGTGGGGCGCCTAGGATTTACATATACACGCTCAGAGGTAGCCAGTCAGAAAGGTGTGTACTATCGGGAAAGCCCCTTCCCGGCTCTGGCCCTCAGTTCCCATCTGCATCTAGTGGGTGATGGGTGGGAGAAGAGTAAATGCTCTTTTGAGCCCGCGACACCCCTGGTTCTCGAGAGACTTTACTGGGGGAGCCGGAAGGGCTGGCTGGGTCTCTCTTTCTTGGGCAAGGCTAGGCGGGGCGCTCTCATTGAAGCTGTGGCCTCAGAAAGGGGACGTTTTGGGAGCAGCAGCAAAAGGGACCCTGTCAGACCAAACATCTGGGGGAATGAGTGTGGGAGGGAGCAGAATCTGGAAACAACGCAGAAGTCCTGACCCCAGAGTCCTCGGATGAAGTTTACGTAGGGTTGGGCACCTGGTTTTCACCGTGCGCATAGTGGCTCCGAGACCTCGGGTGAAGCCGAGCAGGACCTTACCTTGTCCTTCCTGCCTGCCCCGCTCTCCTCCGCGGCCAAGGCTACGCACTTGTTGAGCAGTTTTTTGCCTCCGCAAGCTGTCGGGCTCCAGGTGCGGCCGCCGGAGCAGGAGCCCCCCGGAGGGTCCCCGGCACCGCCCGCGGCGGCACTCTCCACTTTGATGAGGCGGTGTTTGGGCGAGATGTAGCGCACCTCCGCCGGCGTGGCGGGCCGCCGCTCGCTGCTGCTGCGGTAGAGGTGCGGGGAGCCGGAGGACGAGGACGACGTGGCGGCGGCGCCAGCGCCCGAGGAGGCGCAGCAGCAGCCCGCGGCGCCCGACGTAGATGAGGCCGAGAAGGCGCGCTGGCCCCCGCCGGGCTCCCCGCCGCCACCGCAGTAGTCCAGGCGGCACATGGCGCGCAGTTTGCGCAGCGACGAGCCGGGCCCGTTGTACGGGTCCTCGAAATCGCGCTCCTTCTGTGCGCGGTAGGCGCGGATGAGATCACTCGTGCTGCCGCTGTCGTCGGGCAGAGAGCCCGACGAGGCAGAGAAGCAGGAGGCTGCGGCCGGACCGCAGGACGCCGAGGCGGCCTGCGGCACGGCCTGGGGGGGCTGGGAGGGCCGCTCGCCCCGGCGCCGCTGCTCACGGTAGTCGGGCCTCGGCGGCTGCGGGGGACTTTTAGTCTTGCTGTTGCCCAAGCTGAAGTACTTGTTCAGCCACTTGGCCATGTCGAGAGGCCGCCTAGGGCCGCGGCGCGGGAGTCCGATCCGCCGCCGCGGCCATTCGGGGGGCGACGCTGCCTCCCAGGTCCCTCGGCGCCCCGGCCCCGGCGGGGGGCGTCCGGGGCGCCCGCTCCCAACGCCAAGTTCAAGTTCTCGCCGCCTCCTGCCGGTCGCTCTCAGACTCTGGCAGCTGCAGCACCACCCTCCGCCTCCGCCGCGCGCCGCTCGGGCTTCGGATCTCGCGCCCCTCGTGGGCACGTCTCATAAGGTCCTGGCCCAGGACCGCGAAGAGCGGAAGGCCCGAGTGTCCCCCGCAGTGGACGCTCTAACCGTGCGCCCTGCCACCAAGCGCGGTCCTGTCGGGTCAGAGCCGCAACCCGCGCCTCGGCCGGGATCCGCGGCAGCTGAAGGAACTTGACGTTCTCGCCCCCGCTTCTTCCTTTCCGAGAGCGTTGAGACGAGCCCGACCCCGCCACCGGCGAGGAGGCAGGCAGGAGAGCCAGCAAGCGACGGAGGGAGGCAGCCGGCGCCCACCCGTGCCCGTCCCGGCGGCGCCTGCCGCTGCCGCCGCCTCCCCAGCCGCCGCGTGTGTGACACTCGGGCAGCCAGAGCCCGCCCCGCGCCGCGGCCCCGCCCCCGGCTCGCGCGCCCCGCCTCCTCCCGCCCCCGCAGGCCCAGTCCCGCCCAGCCCCGCGAGCAGGGCTGCCAGACCGCGGCCGGAGCCCCGCCCTGCCCTCGCCGGGCCCTCAGCCCGCGCACCTCTCCCCTTCTGCACGCGCCACCTCCTGCGGCCGCTTCGGCGCCAGTCCCCGGGTCGTGCCCGAGGGCGCTCGGGTCCCGCAGTGCGGCCGGCTCCGCCTCGCTCCCAGCTCGCCGCCGCCTTGGGCGAGAGCTTGTCAGGCTGAGCCTTTGGCGCTAAGAGGCCAAACCCGTCCGCAGCCCCCGCCCCCGCCACGGGGAAACGCGCGCTGTGCACCCGGGGATGTCCACTGTCGTGGTGACAACGGGGATAGAGTAACACCCAACCTTTTTAGTTTACAGTCTGACCCGTGCTGAGGAAATGAGGCGACGAGTGGCCTTAGGTGCAGAGTGCATGTCCCTTTCTTAAAGGGACCTAGACTCCGGTTCAGTTCCCCGTGCGCCGGGTCTTCGGAGGAATCTTTATGCTAATGAGTGTATTAGCAATACAGATGACGGATGCTGACGGGATAGGCGGCGGGGACCGGGCCAGGAGCCAATCGGAGAGCAAGGCTAAGGGGAGGTCGGAGTGTTTGCTTACCTTTTCACCTCTGAGGAAGTCGGGCTTTAACCCTGTTCACTGCCAGCCTGGCGGAGCAAACTATGGGAATGTTTAATGTCCAAGGGTGCACAGCTGTCAAGGTTCCATTTAAGCCAGGGACTTCATTTTACGGATGGAGAAACTGAGGCCCCGAGGACAAAGTCACACCGATGGGCTTGGCTGTCATTCTTCGAATCTGGCGACACGATAATGATGTAACTTCAGACCATTTAGTTATTACCCAAAAGTGAGGAGACCCAGGCTGAAGGAGGGGCAGGGTAGCTCAGGGTAGTTTTTCCTGGGATCTGCTTCCAAGGGAGGCAGCCTGCTCTCTGTTGAGACCAAAATCTTACCTGAAAATGAGACAGCTCCCTCTAGGGATCAGTACTGTTTGAGATTTGGCTAAGGCAAGCTCCAGAATATAGCCTAACCCTAAGGTGTGAGTACACAGGAGCTGAGACATTCTCTAAGAATACTGATTTGCCAAAACAATACTCCTAAGCCATTAATCTCCGTCTGCCGTCTGTGCTTTACAGATGGACTTTGAGGCATTCTGTTTTTCCTGTCTCTTGAAGTTGGAGGTCACACTCAGTCTGAGACTCCACACCTTAAGGGCCAGAGCTGTTCCCTCTTCTTCTTTCTGGGACCTGCCCAAACTGAGGCCTGAGGCCAGAGTGGAAAAGTGGTATTGCAGCCACACAGTAACGAAGCAGGACCAAACTGCTCACCTCCATCTATAACCAGTTGAATTTTTCAAAACCCACTATGCTACCTGCCTCCCACAGTTGCAGATAACATCACCAAATTTATTTAGCATTTCAAGGAAATAATCTTGAAGTGTGTGTGTGTGTGTGTGTGGTGTGTGTGTGAGAGAGAGAGAGAGAGACAGACAGAGAGAGAGAGAGAGAGAGAGAGAGAGACAGAGAGAGAGACATCTGGGGGATAGGGAGAGAACCCAGGGTGGATTCTCAGATATTTGTTTCAGGTATCCCTAGACTTAAATATCTCAAATTACCTTTAAATCACTGCTGTGCTGCATAAGCACTTAATTATCCTGCTAGGAGGAGGCCCCAATAGAAAACCTGAAAGGCAAGGGCATCCTCTTCTTAAGCCCCCACCTTTCACCCAACCAGGAATTCTCTCTACCTCCCTCTTTTCCCATTTCTGCTTCTAGGCTCTGGAAGGAGGAGCAGCCAGATCCTGGCAGCAGGCCAGGCCACCTGGGACAAGAAAGTCCTCTCCAGGATCTCAAAGCTTGTCCCCTGCATGTGGGCTGCACGTGGAAGAATTATCTCTGCCTTTTCCAAAGGTTTAGGAAGAGAAATTATGTTTCACAACTTATTTTTTCCATTTCACTTTCAGCAGGCCATGGGGTCAGACCCGCTTTCCCATGTGATGCCTCTACTGGCCTATAATTTGCAAGCCAGAATTATTGTAATTCTATAGTATTATGCCAAGAACTTCCAGAGTACTTGTGTATCTGCTCACCCCCTAAACACTCTGTGTATAATTAACCCCCCTCAATATCCCTGCAATCTGATGTTATTCCCAGTTTTCAGATGGAGTGGCTGCCTAAGGTGGTATTTATTTCAAGCAGACAAGAACCTCATGGGTGTTTTCCTTTGGGAACTTATAGAAGCACACTTTCCAAGACTGAGTCAGAACTAATCATTCTGAAAGGAAACAGAAAATCTTCCTAAGGAAGATGTTAGAGAAGAAATGTCTCCTATGGTTTGGAGTCACCCCATTTTACAGAGTGGAAACTTGAACCAGTGAAAGGGTGAGATTGAGTCAAGAGGCCCCATTTGGATTGGTACCCAGTCTCTTGACACCACAAACCCAGCATTATGCAATTCTATGAATAAACTGCCCACCATTCTTGGCTTATCTTCCTCCCTCCCTCCCTCCCTCCCTTCCTCCCTCCCTTCCCTCTCCTTCTTTCTCTCTCGCTCTTTCTTCTCCCTTCCTTTCTTCCTTCCTTTTTTCCTTCCTTCCTTTCTTTCTTCTGCCACTGGGAGTCAAATTCAGGGCTTTGTACAATCTAGGCAAATGCTTTACCACTGAACTGCACCCCCTAACCCCAATTTTCTTATTGGGAAGGTTGGTGATGGATGGCCTTGTTTCCTTTGTCCTGTCCCAGCTTCTCACTTTAGACCAAGAGCTCCCCAGGGGCAGGGACATGACCACTGTTTTCTCTGTACCTCCTTCTAGTACCTGGAGGAAGGTAATCTCATTTGTGCAGTGACCACCCCCCCCAAAAAAAAGACTCATATACTTCTTTTTGGAAAGATCATTCAGTTTAATCCATGGAACGTTAGTGTCAGTTTCATCTGTATGCCAGGCCCTAGGAGACACAAAGACGATTCAGATATCAGTTCTGTCTCTCACCAATAATCATATAAAGCAAGGAGAAGGATGGGACAGAACAACGGTCAAAGAAAGAGGTATGGGGTTGTGGGGAAAGGAGGTTAATTCTGAAGGGGAAGATCCTGAGGATTCTTTGAGAAGATGATACCTCGTGTTGTCCTTGAAGAGTGAGCGGCATTTAGATATGGAAAAGTAGGCAAGGGAATTCCAGGCAGAGGGAGCAACATAAGCAAAGATATGGAAGCAGGAACGTATGGGAAACTGCTTAGGCAACAGTGAGCAGTCTGGTTTGGGTATGAGTAGCTGAGAATTTGTGAGGGCACAAAAGGGTAAAGTTACAAAGACAGGCTATGTCTTTTAACTGCCAAACTAAGGAGAACAGAACTAATATATACATACAGATGTATATATTATATATATTTATATATTATATGTTATATATTTATATATATTATATATATTTATGGTACTGGGGTTTGAACTCAGGCTTCATACTTGGTAGGCAAGTGCTCTACCTCTTGAGCCATGCCCCCAGCTGGAACATCATCTGGTAGTCAGTAGGGACCACTGAAGATTTTTGAGCAAGGGAATTGCCTAACTTTTCCCCTACATTTTACAAAGATCATTGGGAAGCAGTGTGAAAGGAGCATTTCATATGAGGGGAGAGACAGAAAGTAGGCAGAGCAGTTAACTACTTTGCTTGTGTATTGCCTTTGCCTGTGCATTCTTTTAAATATTAAAGGACCAGAAAATGGTGCCAGAATAGCACCTAGTGCACAAAAAGTGCTCACTACTTATTTGTTGAATGAATAAGTAACACTGGAATAGTGGAAGAGTGCTAAATGATGGACATTCCATGACTCCCAGACCTTTGGTTTTGGGCCACTTGGTAAATGGTGACCAACACCTTCCCAGTGACAAGTAATCCTGAGGAGTGAGAAAGGAGTATTTTGGGGGAGAAGATGGTTGACTTGGCATTAGGCACATGTATAAACAGTTCAGGGCCAGAGTCTGGGCTATAGGTATAAATCTGAAGCAAAATTCTTGACTCCTCCCATTCGCACCTCACCCATCAGCAAGGTAATCTGAACTACTGCAGGAGTCTCTTGCTCATTTTCCTACTTCTAGCTCAACACAGCAGCCAGTGATCCCATTAAAAATGAATTTGATTACCTCCCTCCTCCACTCAAATTCCCCATCAAATCCCTATTTCTCTTGTAGTAAATGCCAAAGTCCTCACAGTGGCCCATGAGATCTTATATAGGACCTGGTCCCCTTGAGTTCCTGATCTCATCTTATGCTGTTCCCTCTCTCCTGCTCTAGGCAGGCTGTTGATTTGCTGTTCCTTGATCCTTCAGGGTACATTCTTGCCTTGGGGGCTGCGCTGAGGTCTCCTCCTGCCAGAATGCTTCCCCTAAGTTATCCCCTTAAGGTTTTATTTAAATGTCCATATGGTCAGTGAAGCCTCCTCAGGGCACTGGCTCTAGAATTGCAGTCCCTATCCAGGACTTGCTATCCACCTTCCCTGCTTTATTTGTCTGAGTATAGCTCACCCCATTTCACCCACTGCATATTTACTTATTTTTCTTGTTTATTTTTTTTTTCTTTCCCCACAGTAGAGAAAGGATCTTTGCCCTTTTGGTCACTGGCTGTCTCCAGCGTTTAGAACAGTGCCTAACTCGTGGTAGGTAGGCAAATAATTCCTCTTCATTAGATGAATGAGTGAATGTGAGTGGTTGAGATCATGGGGGCAAAAGGGCAGAGAGCTACCACTTGTCATCTCTGTCTGCTTCAGCCCTGGTGCTTAGTGGCTATTAGCCTTGGCCTAGAAGTGGGAATAGATCAGACTTGCTGTATTTGGGGGGGAGGCATATATTTAAGGGGTATGGCATGATGTTTTAATGTACAGATACGTAGTGAAAT